TCGATAGTTTCCGTAGGGCGACTGGTGTCTACCACACGAGGTTCCCCACATGGGACAAAAGCTGACAAATCTAATATTCTTGTTTCATGGTATACAATTGACGCTACAAAGACACATGTTGAAGGACGTACTGCTGTAGCTTATCTTCTGGAAGTTGATGACCTCACTGAAACACGGGGTTACAAAGTTTGTACTACCATACATGTAAGGACAAATATTGGAGTAATGGGAAGGATTTCTGCATATGTGGCGACACTTTATCTGAATTGCAATTACTAAATAAATAGTCTTTCACGTAACAAAAAGTAACTACTTCTCATGGTGAAAATTGCATGTAATGACCGAAAATGAGGACCAAACCACAGCTCCGTTCATGTATAAACTCATTCACAAAGCGTGCAATTTTCCGTTCCTATCGGGAATGGAACCGCAAATCCTTTGGTCGGGAACCGAAACCATCACCCCTGAGGGATGCGAAACACATGGCTATATTGATTAACTGAACATATTCATAGCTTTTCCCGTGCGAATTCACCAGGATAATTGCCAGTGCTGCTTTTCTTATTAACTCTAAACAGGGGATTGGACCAAACTTGTCATTTAGCATCATTGCACAACTACCTGGTGCAAAATGAACAGCAAGCAAAAATAAAGTGTCTTAGTCTATTCGAAGAAGTTCGAAATCTGCATCAATGAGTGGCACATATTGAGTAGGGTAGTTCTTTTTCNTCTTTTTCTAAGATTCCGGTGCAATGAAAAAGCTTACCCGCATATCCTGAAGCACCCAAGCGAAGCCAAAATTTGGATGAATCAGACCCACCAGACGTAACAGGAATTCGAGAGTCTTTATGTCTCCGTGAAATCGTTCGCGTAAGTCTTCATATTGTACTTTGACAGCAACTTTCTCACCAGATTTAGTTGTCGCACGGTGAACTTGAGCTAAACTAGCTGCCGCAATTGGTTCCTCTTCAAACTCGGAAAACAGCTCGGAAGGGCGCTTTCCAAAGTCTTCCAAGAAAATTCGGTTCACCTGAATCATTGCGGAACATAAAAGAAATTGCACGATTTAAGTATGACTAATTGATCATTACTAGCATGGAATTGTGTT